GCTTCACATGAGCATCCACGTGTGCTATGGCAGCAGATGCAACGACGCACTGTGGACTGCAATTGAAGCAATTACGCACCTACTTCTTCTATCTTCTACTTGAAATTTCTATCAGTTACTTTCAATTTTTGAAGTACAGCAAATGGAGACAAACTAACCCAGATTTCAGCGCAACAATGTTCAGTCGCTGCGCAATAACTGTAAGAGGACGTCCATTTAAAAATAAAGATTCCACATCGCCTCCTGCAAGATATGGTGGTACTGTACCTACTAGTTAAGATGATTTTCTTGCATTAGCGTAATAGGTTTTGGCGGCAAAAACGCGTGATATTTCATCATAAAAGTGATTCAATTCTGTTACCTCGGAAAGCGCTTACCAATGACCTGAACACTTTCAGGTTTGAGTAAAAGAACTCCTTTCCTGCATTCTACCGGAGGAATAAGAAGAAACTGGAATATCACACCATAGAGAAGAAATCTAGTGTTCAATGTCTAAGGTAACATACTTTACATCCTGGCTTGGTAAGAAGTGAAAATTCTTCAATCCTCCGATACTCTATGGCTTTCAAATTGCTTTCGCCATCACCCACAAATAACATGAGCATACGACGCCGTCTCTGTAATCAGTAAACAGAGCTAGCATAAGCTTGTCACACACCAGTAGTAAAGCACATACCGCGCCACAAAAGTCAGGAAGGCCTTCTCGTTCCATTTCAGGGGAAGGCTCGAAGCCCGTGTCATCGATAAATTCATACACTAGTGTGGTGTACTGGAAGTGGAAAGGTGTGCCAATGTCCACGATAGAGTGAATCTACAACAATTCTCGAAAAAATTAAGGCTTTAGTCGTATCTCAGACAGTTGAGTTAAGGTTCAAAAAAAGCAAATTTTCTGACTTCATACTTTAGCACTTGGATTGGAAAGCTACCTGCAAGGCAACAGGATGATAGAGCGTGGTTTTGGAATCATTACCGACGACCAAAAACTGGCTGATTATTGGATGCGTCGATTCTTCCAAGGTGGCATACATCCATTGCTCGAAAACAAGATCCGCGATGTATCGCAAATTCTGCAACAAAAAGCATAGAAGACTCACGCTTTCTTTGAAATTTTGTCATGAAACTAGTAAGCACATATATGGGAAAACTTATAAAATTGAATTTATTCGTCCCATTTAATTAAAGCAATTAAAGTATTACACCACATGTAAACTTACACTTAGTTCAATAGAATTTGCCTGAATAAAGTCAAGTACTCTAGATAGCCATTCTTGCTTCAATAAAATATGACGTTGCGCAAAGAAATCGAGAATAGCCGGAAAAACAGACTCCATAAGCAACTAGCTATTCAGCATTGCAAGCCTGCGTGAACGGATCTGCGCACCTCCTAAAACCTGACTGGATGTCTTAAGAAAATAAGCGG